AAGTGTTTTAAGTTTAATATAACTAGTACTTAAGATAAAGAATTTTGTTTTTATATTTACGCTATCATATAGTCAATTATACTATGGCACGTGCATTTCACGCGCGTCTTGGTAGTAATAATTATCAGAAATGGTAGCTACACTAATGGTCACCCTATTGGAAACTTCAAGTGTGACTATAAATTTTCAATTAGGACACAAACAATGTAAATTAGTACGTGAGGCAAAATAAAAATATCTTATTATAAAATATTCGTCAACAAAAATATGAACTTTCAACAAGTGACTGTTTATTAAAATTGAACAATTTTGAAAAAAACGTGTTTGATATTTATTTCTTTGTCGTAATCAACACAACTTTGTCTAACGTGACATATTAGTTAACGATATTTGTGTCCACGTTAAAATTTAAGAGTGGTACTTATGATTTTAGAGTAATCATAAGTGTAACAGTTAGAAACTTAAATTATTATTGTAAGAAAATTACTTTGATGACAATTTGAAAATTTTAATAAATTTAGTGATCGTGGCTAAAATTAAATCGAGTCTTTAACATAAACTTATTATCATGAAGGAGATGAAGGTCGAGCTCCAAATTGTTTAGATAGCACGTTTTCAGGTTGTTAATCTTTAAAAGTGACGTTCTATGTCGAGTCTATTTTGAATATATGAATATCGGTCTTTAAATGATGGAAACTATCAATGTGGATGTTTAAAATCGCACGCAAATTTTATGTTATATAAAACTAGACGCTAAATAGTTTGGCAGTTTTGCCATACAACTTTAAGTTGCATGCTGCTTTAACATTCACATTGATGATTTCATCATGTAGGGCTCAAATTCACAAATTTGAATAGATTAGTGACCAGAATGACACTAATTGCAAGATATGGAGCTTAAACCTAATTTTCTCTTACTATTGAGGACTTTGTGCACAATTGATTTTTGGTAATTTATTTTGTGGAAATTACACAATTCCCTACTTTTGAAGATGTGAATTCTAAAATCAGATTTTATGTTTCAAAAATCAGATATTTTATATAGAGACATGTTTTTTATATTTAATTAAATATTAATAATAATATTATAAAAATTAATGTATAAAAAATATATATATATATATATAATTAATTCACAGTCTCCTCTCTCTCTCTCTGTGTGTGTGTGTGTATTCTTTCGGTCTCTTCACTCTCCCTGTCATAAAAAACCATCGGATTCACACTCTCCTCTCTTTCTCTCTCTGTATTCTCTCGGTCTCTTCACTCTCCATGTCACAAAAAAATCACCGGAGTTCCGTTGACTGTTGGAGATCGCCGCCGACGAAGATTAAGAAGAGAGGACGAGATAGGTGGGAGGAGACTAACTAGTGATTGATTTGCCGGAGGTTAAGAGGCTGAAAGAGGATTTATTGGACAGTTTGGGTGATGATGAATTTGATTTCTGCACAACAAGTCAGGATCTTAACTCGTTCATGAAGAGTTTTGACGAGGAAATTATGGGTTCGCATTCACCGACGGTGGATTTCAAGTGAGGTTCTGAAGAGTCTCAGCCGGATCTAGGGTATTTGTTGGAGGCTTCGGATGACGAGCTTGGGCTTCCTCCGTCGACGGCGTCTCCGACGGGTGTATTGAGTGAAGGAAAGACCGAGTTATTTGTGTGTGCTAATTTGTGTAATTTGTGTGGTGGTGCTAGAGATCAATGCTGTGTAATTTGGCCACCAATTGCAATTAATGGAACTGCCATAGTCGCGACTTTGGGGATCAAATATGGAGGAAATTGAGCAGCAATTGGATCAATTAAATGTGTACCTACTGTTGTGAACTTCATTTCCACCATGTGAATTTGTGATTTTAATGGTATTTGGATGGTG